CCCAGGATACCATTTGCTTTCCGAGCTGCAAGAGCACACTGCTGGCTCATGTTAAGCTTTTCATCCATCAAGACCCCCAGGTCTTTCTCTGCAGGGCTGCTCTCAAGGACTGCTCCTTCCAGTCTGGATAGATGCCTGGGATTCAAGGCTTCTCAACCAGTGGTTTATAATGATTTAAATGTTTAGATGACAGCAAAAAATATATATCCTTAAGCAAATAAATCTGTCACCAAATGCTAAATTTTCATGCGTTTTCACATTAAGTAGACCAGCTACCATGAAGTGCTAAACAGACTTTAACTGATGCTGACTTTAAGTGGTGTACATTTAATACAGAGAGGTATTTTTTTTTCTGATTTATTTTTTGATTTGTTAATCAGGTATAGCTGAAAAAGGTCCACTTTTAATGTACTTAGCATTTTCATATTGATGGCATTACAATATCCCTTTTCCCCTTTTCTCATTGTATTAGCAGGCTCTCAAAAGTTGATCCTATGACATGTGGTAGAGCATACTTCTTTATAACCTCACAGATCAGTTTTTAATTTATTTCTAAAATGCAGGGTTCATTCACGTGCTTCTTATTTTCATAGTTATCAAAATCTTGAAAAAGATTCGCACTTAAGCAAAAATATCTGAGTAAAAAACAAATGCAGAGAAAAATGCAACTATTTAGTGTAAAAACTTCAGAACACAAGTGGCTTGCCAATTTGTCTTTGTAAACAGTTTCACCAAATAAAACAGCTCTTGACTTAATCTTATTTTAAGCGGAATACGCACACAAAAGTGCTGAGTACAACTGGTTCTAGAATAGTTTGTGCTGAAGAATACTATTCCCGAGAGTATAAAATTATCCTGAAACCAAGTTTGTAATTGCACATATTTCTGATGTTTTATTGCAACTAAATGTCAGTTTTTCTTAGCTTTCTGGTCTACTCCCTAGTGAGTACTCAAGAGATTTTTAAGAGAAAAAAAAATTGGGATTTCCTAAGCTGTCAAATACTGTGTTTTTATGAAGCAAAACATCCCAAACTGAAAAATGAGATAAAAATGTTATATTCCATGTTAGCCCTTGGGAACTGAAGCAATAGCGTAACATTCAGTAAGAGCAGCCAGATCCATATCCAGTGTCAATGTGGGGCAGGCGTGGTTTTGGATCAGAGCCCTCTATTTTGGTTACTAAGAAAGTTCAATTACTATTATGGCAATTATCCCAAGGATTTTTTTCCCTTTCTTCCAGCTAACGCTAAGAGATAATAAGAAGTTGGTCCCTGTTACAATAATCAAACAAGGTAATTTTGTGTATTTTTTAGAATTCTTTTTAAATATTCTACAAGTGTCCTTTAAAATTAATGGCAGTGGAAAACTTGTAATTATGTTGTAAATGTCATGAATTTTTCCTTTTAGAAAGGATAGAACTTCAGAAAGAACTATATCCTCAAATTACAAATACCAACAACTCATGCCTGTTTATTAATAAAATAAGTTATTAATTTTCATTATGAACAATGCCTTACTTGAGTCAATGAATAGATGCCAGTATTTTTATTTTTTTTTTCTTCTGCTACTATCCATTCTTTTCTGTCTCAATTGAATTGTCCAGATATTTTCGTCTCTCAGCTCAATACTTGAACTTGAAATGCAGCAGTATGGATACCAAATTTTTTATACGTGCATTGCAGATATTTTCAGTTATATCACTGTTTTAACCTCCTTTCTCCTCCCTTCCCCAGTCAGTGGGGTGAGACATCTACAACCAGCATATATGTATGTCCCTTTAGAAGCTCCTGTTTCTTAGTAGCAACTATAGTAGTGAGAGTCATCATGGTAGTAGAATTTTTGAAAATTAACTACTTGAAGATAGCTGTGAAAAATGAACTGCAGATTAAAATTTGCCAACAGAAATTGAATAATGAATCATTTTAAGTAACAACAACAGCAACAAAAGTCTTCTAAAGCAGTTCACAGTTCAAGAACAGGAGAAAAATGGGAGGTGATATGAGGGCAAATTACAGCAATTACCTATAAAATATGACTGTATTGATGCTTACTTCATGTCTGTTTTTTCCATCATGCATCTTTTCTGAAGAGATGCGAATGGTAGCATAATGAGATAGGCTGGAGGTGGATGTATGTTAAAATAAGCATATAATGTGTTTATATAAAAGATATCATGCTGACATGCTAGGGGAAAGAAGAGATGCATCTTTAAGGGGCGATGCAGAAGAAACACAGTTTGTAGTCTTTGAAATGCAAAAGTGAATGCAAATACAGAAAAGACGAAGATGGTGTCCTCATCTCTTAGTATTAAACTGAGAGAAGGTTTTCAGAATGCTGAGATTTGTCTCAGGTGTGTCTTTGTTTCCTGTTTCAGTTTTTTTTCAAATGATTTACTAGCATATATGTTTTGTTTTCACAGTTATTCAGAATCGGACACAGCCAAAAACTTCAGATAGTTCTTCTCTGCCAGGAGCAATTCTAGGTGACAAGAAGATTATTTTTTTTTAATTTTCCCTCTTCTGTGACTGAAATTTAGATCTGTGTAAATACTTAAAATTTTCTTGATTCTGATAGTTCTTTATATATATGAATGTATATATATATTATTATATATATATATATATATATATAATGTAAATGTAGAACTGCCTGTAATAGATGAGAGAGGTTCACTGCATCTTGTGACTAGTTTATTCCTGCCTTTGGGAAGGTGTTTAATTCTTTAACTATGGAACTACTTTAAAACTACATAACTGTAGCTTGTTTGTTTTGCGTGGGTTTCAGTGGACAAATGGGAGTCAAACAGGTAGTTGTTAACCACACATTTGTTGTTGAGTCTTCTTTGGCCTGCTAGGTAGTATGTTCATATATCAGTGATAATACAGTACTCAAGGGTTATATGCTTTAGAATTTGTTTGCCACTTGAATTAATAGTGAAATTGTGCTAATATATTGAGTACTAAAATGGACTAAATTGCACTCATTGCTCCAGTGGGGAGTAACAGTTACAGAACAGAACTAACCCATTTCTCAGATACTCAGGCTACACACCCACTGGTTCTGTAGGGCAGTCTGTATATTGTTCTTTTTTTTTTTTTTTTTTTCTTGAACTAAGGCTCTTTCATCTTTCTTTGTAGTGCATCTTATTGTTCCAGGTCTCAATGAAACTCAGCAAAAACTTCTTCCTCCTCTGTCAATAGATGACATAACTCAAGTATCCAGAAAAAAACTGGGTAAGCAGTAATGAACACTATTACTGTTCATGAGCAGTATCAGTAGTTTAGGTGGTATGAGATTGTGTATACAAGAGAGAAGCCTTTTTTTTTGCTATTTAACCTTTTTTGTTTGTTTGTTTATGTAATATTTTGATTGGAATTGTTAGAGTTCACTGGAATCACCTATTTTAAAACATCTGATCAGGTTTTTAAGATATTTCAAAGCCATTCAAAGGAATGAAGAAATGATCCAAAGAGAAGAAAAGGTGGGAAACTAAAGCCATGTTTATGATCCTTAGAATTTTTGTGTTGTTTTACATTTTAACTTTTTTTTTTCCATAGATACTGTCTTTTAATATTTATCTTGAAAAATGGTATGTCCTTTTGTAATAATAAGTTTTCAATGAATTTTTGCTGTATGAATTCTCATATGAGTAAATGTGAGTGATTATTTCATGGAGAGATTCTTGTAATAAAATCCATGGGGGAAAAAAAATTGTCACAAAGCAGAACATTTCAATACAAGTTTCGTGTATGTTTGATGAATATGACTGGAACCTGCAGGTTCCAATTCACTCTGAAAGAGACTTCTTGAAGTTTTTGTTTAAGATTCATAAATTAGTGTATTTATTGTGAATGGTGCTCTCATGGGAAATACAGCTATTTTTTTAAATGTTAACAATGCCCCTGGTCCATCTTACAGAGATCTCTTGAGAAGAACTCTGGAGCTGATAATTTTTGGCTTTTCTAGTCTTAGTATTTAATTTTAATTCTTAACAACTAGGTTAGATTTTCTTCCTTTCATATTTCTAATTTGTTTATTTTATTCTCTTGCCTCATTACTGACCATGGTACATTCTCAGACTGGTTTGCTTTGCAGTGAGAAAAGAACACTGCTTGTTTTTGTTCAGATGTTGGGTGCATGTAAGGGTAAAGAGACACAGCACAGTAAAATTTGAATGTGTTTGAGTAAGAATGTGTGTGAACTGAAGCTGAATTATTTGGATTTCAGCAAAGCTTTCAGTACTGTTCTTCACAGTATACTTCTATACAAAATGATCAGCATAGCTAGACAAAAACATAATGCAATGTGTGAAGAACTGGCTGATGGGTCAGGCTCAAATGATCAAAGTAAATGGGATTACAGTAGGCTGGCAGCCACTGGTGAATTTCCCCAATCTTGGGGCCAGTTGTCTTAGAAGAGTTCATCAATGGCCTGGATGCAGGACTTAAAGGTTCACTAAGTAGGGTTCAGTAGATGTGCAATAAAAGTATCAGTATGTGACTGTGGAAAAAAAAAAAAAGAAAGAGAGAAAGAAAGAAGGAAGAGAAAGAAAGAAAGGAAGGAAGGAAGAGAAAGAAAGAAAAAGAAAGAAAGAAAGAAAGAAAAATAAATAAATAAATAAATAAATAAATATAAAGGTAGTTTCAGTCATCCTGGAAGTGTCTAACCTTCTCAGTTGGGTAAGCATAGAACTTCTAAATTTAGATGCTCTAGTCTGTTTAAAACAGCTGGTGTGATGTCAGTTTGGAGCCACTCTTCATGGTAGATTGCACACCTTTGTGAAAATAACTAGGGTAAACAAGTGATGTTTTATTTTCCATTTGTCGTGTGTTCCTTACCAGAGAACATCAAGTGCATGGATGTGCTTACACACAGGGGAATACTGGATTTCAAAGTGTAAAAGAGGAAAGTTATTGCTATCATTTATTTAATATAATTTAAATTTATAAAGTGATTGAGAAAAAGACATACTGACTTTCTTTATTATTTAGAAAAGTCAAAACAATGCATTACGGAATGCCATATTTATTGAATTCCCATTTTTTTCTACTTACTTTTTCAAAAATCTACCAGTTTTTTAAAGAATTGTAGCCCAGAAAAACAGAAAATATCTCACCCACAAAATGTATTTTCTTCTTCCTCAGTGAAAATAGAAAAGCACAGATATTACTCTTTTCAAAATGAATGTTTCCAAGAACCACTATTTTTATGTATGTGTATCTGTTGAAATTAAAGGATTTTGTCCAACCACTATACTTGACAGAAATAAGGTAAAGGAACACAAGCACACATCTGTCACTGTAATATTTGAAAATTTATTTGACTGTTCTTATAAAATCCTTAGATCTATATTACATCTTTGAATTTTGAAAAGTATTTAACTATTTTAATGTTGAAATGTTAGGCAAAACTGTTTTGTACTGTGAAAGTAATGACTCAGAAAGCATTACATTTATGCTGTAAATCCTATTTTCAAAGTATCTTTTAGGAATAAAACAATATTACAAATGCATGTGTGTTTAACATCTTTAGGCAAATGCTTGTATTCTTTGTAGTAGAATTTTATTGATTCCTAAAGGTATTCAGCTTTCCACATTTATCCATGTTGGTTTACTTTGGCAAACTGAAGTGAGACAGAAATGAATCTGTAGTGGAAAAGAGCAGATGCAGATTTGCTGTAACTCTCTAATGTCTTTGTCCCTTTAGGTAAGAATGAAACTCAAGTATGGCCTGCTGAATCCAAAACACCAGAAGTTCAAGAAATCTCACCTCAGTCCCTCCCAGGTAATAAGTGTTCTATTTTCAGAAACTCTACTGAATATCTTTGCCAAAGATATAAACTGAAATTAAATTCATTTTTACATTGCTTACTCTGCAGTTAAATGCAGTAGCTGGAAGACAGAAGTATAATGAAGCTGAGTTAGTAGCTGTGAGTGATACATAGAATAAAATGTAGATAATATTGTGATTAATTTTGGAGCAAAGGTTTAGATACTCCAATTGTTAGGTTAGTAGATATTTATATATTAGAATTGTATCTTTGTGGTCTGATGGATATTTTGAAACTGTGAAAAAATGGCAAAACAAACAAGTACACATGTTCGTATTGCTATAATAGTGTTAGTTTTTTACTGAAACAGAATCTTTTTTATTTACTACTTCTTGCTTTTTCTGTGGTTTTGCTTCCATATCTCCTTTCCTTTGGTGACTGTTTCTTTTGTTTAATCTTTGTTGATCACAGCACCAAGTTCTAATATTGAAGTAGATTATTCAGGAGTTTCGTGCTTATTTACATCAAAGGATGTATTCATTGTGATTGTGGTATTTCAATTTAAAGGGGAAAATGACAGTAGGAAACAGCGAAGTGAGAGCAAATCCTTTGAAAGAAAACAGAAGTTCTCTGAGTGGAATCTATGTTTACATGTTGTCCATGCAAAAATAACCTTTATAGTTGCGCATTTAAGCCAGACTTGCGCAAACAACTGAAGTGAGAGCTCTGAGCATCAGCCTTTTGCAAGGGCTGCATTTGAGAGACAGGATAACATTTAGACACATTTTGATTTAGGATTAGAATATATTTGATTATATTTTGTTTGGATTTACCAATTTGAAAATCACACTGGATTTTTTTTTAAAGTAAGACGTAGTAATTATTTGCTGTGAAACATTTAAAGAGTGATGCCAGAAGAGGCATCAGAATGTTTATTTAAGAGGAACTATGTGATCTCTGTCATTCAAGAAGGGAATAAAGGCGCTTAGAGTGTTTCAGCAAGCAGAACTACCTGAAAGCCTGCATGAGCTGGGCCACTCTTTCATTGCTGTAAGCCTTTGCCAAAGGGTGTGTTCTGTTCTGTGTGGGTCAGTAACTATTTTGTGTGTGTTTGTCAGACAAAAATCCCACTGTTTTCTTAATTTCAGGCCTCCCCTCCCTTGGCATGCACTTTCACAGAAAGACTAGTTAGTAAGCTCTTTGTTGCTTCATATTTTCCACTTAGGAATATTATATTCTAAGAAGAATACTACTTTGTAATGTTTTTAATTTTTTTTTTCACAGACTTTTAAATTCTCTGAGTTGAATCAAGTGTGAACATTTTCTTAACTTGGCAGGGAAATTGTAGCTGACCAATGGTTAGAAATATCAGTGCATTTGTCTAGGACACAGAAGATCTAATTCAGAAAAAAAAAGGGAAAAAAAAAAAAAAGCAGGTTATTTCTTTTCGTAAGGGGTTGTACCAGAAATATATCAGGGTAGATTTGTGAAATAGAGAACAGACTACAGACTTGAATTGAAATGGACCACCTGTGAATCCAAGCTAGGGCTAATTTTAGTAGGAACAATTTCTGTGTTGCTGTGCTTTTCAAGTTCTTCCTCCTTCTGGCCTATGAAGGCTTCCCCATGTGCTCACATGGGATATCAGAACAAGTGAGAACACTGCTTCCATCACAGTATGCATATTCAGACTGGGGAGGAAAAGAAGATCACAAATGAAAAAGTCAAGAGAAATGCTACCTAAATGGATTCTGGCTCTATTCCATGCTGTAATAGCAAACTAACTATATTTGCTTGGTTTTGTTAACCATTTGCTTTGCAGCCACCACTGAACCATCCCAGGAAATTATTAAACCCACTTCACCTAATTCCTGGGAAAAGTCAGAAGTATTTCTGCTTTACTGTGAAGGTGTAGAAGTAGGAGAAAGAGTAAAAGTCAAAAGACTGCTATATTGCTATCACTGGATAAAATGAAAGACTAAGGTATTACAGGGGAATCTTTATTCTTTTTTTTTTTTAATTCTGATAATTTTTGCATTAGAATGATTTAAAAAATCCAGAATGGGAGAGAAAATATTTGTAAATATATTGTGTGATGTAACAATTCTGTTATTCTGTGTTCTATGAATGAAACCTGGGAGCCTGTAGCAGAAGTACTGTTTGAGTTTCTAAGTCTTTTTGACTAATGTTTTCTTTTTGCTTATGTAAAACTGCCACAAAATTAACCCAATACTTATGGAATTCACAAGTGAAGATAGAAATGAATTATGATGAAACTAAGCTGCTGCAAAAAAAAATGCCAATCAGCTGACATAGAATTGTGGTTAAAAAGCAGTGGGCTTTGGGCAGTAGATGAACAGAAAAGCATAGAGGGATTCAAAATTAAATAAAGCTTCTTTTTTTCTAGCTCAGGCTGAGAAAAAACATGGACCTAAGGAATTTAAATCAACGCCTAAACCTGAAATGCAAACTCAAAACATATTGGGTAACTAATTTTGCCACTTTTTACCTTCTATATACAGTAAATGTATTTTTTTCATTTTCAGATGAATTTTCTACTACAGCCCTTCTACTGAGCAGCATCAAAGGAAGTCCTAATTAAAATTTTTTGTTCCCTTTGTGCTTCCAGCATCTCACAGATGAAATGTAAAGCAGAATGGATCCAGCACTAGCTGAGCTGTGTCTGTTACGCATGATTATTGCTGGCAGTTTTGACTGGGTGTTTCAATCTTGTTTTTCAAAGTATTGCTTTCTCTGTATGTGATCTGAGTAACTCATATCAGATAAAAATTCCATCAGTAAAATGATTTTAGTGATAGAATGAAACTTGCAAACTCAATGATTTTCCTTTGATAACAGATTCATTTAGATAACCTCAACAATGATATAAAAGGAATATTTTTTTATTGCATATGACATGCATTTGTATTTGACTTGGAGAAAAAATAAAGAGCTGTAATGTTTGGGTTTTTTGTTTTTGTTTTTTGAAATCTCTCATTACTTGAAAGATTTCTTATGTTTCTTCTGGCATTCAGAATTCTAAGTTCTCCAGTGTTGGTTTTGTTGCCTTTATTTTAATCCCAAAACTGTGCAAAATTATGAATACAAACTTCTGGCTATATATGTATACACATATTTAATTTTGATTAGATTTTCTAAATCAAAAATGGCATAAATATAGGATGACGAGTGTTAAAGGAGATGAGTGAGCTTTTTCCAGCACAGAGATACAGATGTTCCACATGAAGAGGATTCTTAGTTCTTCTCAATAATGTTGTTTTTATGTATTCCTATTGATTCATGATAATGTCATCCTCTCTTTTGTCAATTACAGTTGCAAGCAGGTTTCCTGAACATACTGAAGTTAAAACATCAATCTCACTTTCAAACTTGCATTTAATCACCTTTTAACCATAATTAACTTGCCTGTTTCCTAACATGCCTTTTAAAATGGAGATATGAAAGTGAATCAAGGTGCGTCACTGCTTAATTTCAAACTAGGTGATCATAGTTACAGATGGATTTTTATTACTGGCTTCCTCTAATTGGTGGTTCTTAATATTATGATAATGGGAAATTATGATTTTATGCAGATTCCACACATCTTTTTAAGTGGCAAAATTGCATATGTTGTTTTGTTTTTTTCCCCAGGATGGAACTCTTTATTGTTGTTATTGATAAACATCATTGGTTTCCAGAATGCTTAGAAGTCAAAATATAGTCCCATACTAGTCTGTATTAAATAAAGCCTTGATTATTTCTTTTATCATAGCTTCTAATGAAATACATCCACTTCCTTCTGGAACCAGAATCTTTGATGCTCCAAAAAGTCCATTGACAGAACTTGGTAATTATTTTGTTTGTAAATTTGAGCAAACTTCTGTGTAAAATAATCTGAATTACCTAATTTTTTTGTTTGTTTTTAACACTTCAACTGCAATAATATTTTGTATGTAAATTATTGCAACCATTAGTTTTTTCCCAAAATTTGCAGGTCACATCTTTCATTCTCAGTCTATTTTTGTTTTATTACAGTGGCAGGTTGCTCTGAATTCATGCTTCTAAATGAAGAATTTGCTGTTGATTTATTGCAATATTTGACAGCTCTTTTTCAAATGTGCTTGAAGGGATAGAGATTCATATTTATTTTCACTGTATTGAAGTAAGTTTGGTTAAATGTAGCTAGAGGTAGCATTAAAAATAAAAAGTCCTTTTAACATTTTACAAACAAATTTGACAGAATTGTTGTTTAAAGCCTGAAAATTACAATGGATAGGAAGTATTTTTGCTTACTAGAGAATAATATAATCCTATGTTTCTATCAGTAGTAGAGGTAAAATGATAACAGTTGAGCCAAAATACACGTTAAATTCAAGTTCTCATGTCTTCCATTTCTGCCACGTAGCAAAACCTGAGATTTAATTATGTGAGGTTGGACCCTGACATTGGATCATGTGGAGCATCTGTGCTCCCAGTGAACTCAGTGCTGAACTCAGAGGTACTCTGTGAGACTGACAGCAGGAGTCATTTGCAGGAAATTTCTCTGCGCTGTGCCTCAGCATGTTGTGATCACCTCAGGTCACGAAATCAGTGGAAAAAAAAAAGAAAACTTAGTTATTGAAGCTAAAGTGCATGACCTGTATTCTGTCCTAGTTCCTCAGAAGACGTTTTCCTTTATTTTTCTATCAAGATTGTACCAGAGGGAGACATCTCCCACTATTTTATAAAATTTTTGTGTGGTCAGTGTATTTTGAATTCAAACATTTCTGAAAAGATAGCTTTGTTAACATAGCTCCACTCTTCTGATGCCTTTGGGAGATCTCTCATAGCTCTTACTATATGTAAAAGAATCAAAGGAAGCTTTTGTTGGCCAAAGTTATGAATCATAAGGCTTGTTTGTATTGTTTTCTGCTCTATTGAAATCAGTACATAGTAACCAGAAATAATATTTATTAATGTGATCTGTTGGTTAAAGGTAAATGAGAAAGCAGATTCAATATATGAAACAAAAGTCTGTTCCTTTTTTGGTCATGAATTCATATTGTCTGCATTCAGACTGAGCCCTACACCTTTTTATTTGAATATTTTTCTCAATCTCAGAGAAGATTAGCTTTAAAATCCTGGTGTAGCTACTTTAAAAAAAAAAAAAAATCGTACTTTTAAGGAGGAATTAAAAATGCAGATGGAATTTTTGTCTTTCATATACATTATAACCTAAGTGAGCATTAGTGACAATTGCAGCTTTTTGTTTTAATGGGAAAGAAGTGTTACTAGGGGCTTGTACGCATGGTTTAATAGGATCTGTTTCTTATTTCTTACTGTAAAACCCACACATGATGGAAGCTCACTCATGTTAGCCTTTAGGTAAGAATACCCAATTCCAACTTGATTTCTTGTTTCCATTAAAGCACACAAGGTTTCTTGAAATCACCTATAGTTCTAAGTGAAATAATTTTAAGGTCTTGTACTACTATTCATTACATCACAACTAATTGAAGATCCTGTTTTCTCACTTTCATGTTTATTTCACTGACTTCATCTTCTTATTTCTTTCATCATTTCCAATTACACCTTTCTTAAAAATAGTTCTGTATAATATAATAGGAACCAGTTGAGACACGCTTGCAAATGCTACCTCAAGTTTGTTTGTTTGGGTTATAGCTTTTTGGTTGTGTGTAGAAACCTGATTGGATTTATGCTAAAGTTTGCATACTGTAAAAAACAATTGTGAGAACAAAAATTCAAACTAAATAAAAACTTAATAGTTACAGCTAAAATTAAATTTCATGCCGTTTACAAGACGACTATTTGCCTGGATATCTTAATTTTTTTTCATGTTTGCTCTTAGCTACTCAGAGTCCAACCTTGAAATCTGTATCTCTACCTTCAGCAGATACCAGAGAGATGGAGATAGGTAATCCGTGGATTATTTCCATATTTTTCCATTATATTTGTATCAATTAGATCTGCAAATGGTAATTTTAAGATCTCCTTTAGAATCTTGGCTACCAGCACTCACATCAAGCTGCTTTTGTCTGTGTAATCATCTGAAAAAGACATTTGTTACTGGCTTAAAAACTGACCACATAAAGACGACATTGTCAAATCTTATTCTTTTCTCACTTCTTTTTGTAAAGCTGCATCTCTTATCTTCCAAAATTTAATAAGGTAAAATTTCATTCTTTTTGGCATGTGGAACTCTTATTGCAAGGTCTGAAGACTGTATTGTGAGCCATCATCTCCTGTTGTCATTACACAGTCGTCTTGCGCCTCACTTTTCATCTGTAATGCTTTGCGTTAGCATCATCTGGAATTTCACAGCCTTCACAAAGATGTCTTATGCTAACTCATTAAGTCACAGGTCTCAGCAGTTTAAGCTCAGATTCTTTTTTCAGCTTTTGATGAAACGCAGCCTATTTCATCAAGATCCAAAACATCTGGTACCACAGAAGTGCAACCCACAAAGTCTGGTAATGATTTCTCATCAGATTAATTCTCTTGACAGTTAGGAATTTTCAGAAAAGACATACTGCCTCTCATTAAACAGTTTGTTCAGTTTGACATAATGAAGAATAACTACAGATATGGAAGTGTTATATCAAATTACAGGTTTCTTTATGAACTTTTATATGAAATTATAATTGAGCTACTGGTTTGTGGATGAGTTTTGTTGTTTATTTGATTGGTTGTTTTGAAAGCATAGGCTGTCCTTTAGCCTTCATATATGAATGTAGACATGCCAATTCCTAAACACCCAGATCTCAGAACTGGAACTATAAAAACATGTTACTGAAAACTGAGACGTTCATTGAATTATAGAATGCCTTGGGTTGGAAAGGACTGTAAAGATCATCTAGCTCCAAGCCCCTGCCCTGGGCAGGGCTGCCACCCACCAACTCAGGCTGCCCCTGGCCCTATCCAGCTGGCTTTGAATGGTTCCAGGAATGGGGCATCCACAGCTTCTCTGGGCAGCCTGTGTCAGGATCTCACTACACTCTGAGTAAATTGGCTACTTGATGTATAGAAAATATCTCCAAATATACTACTCCTATTTTAAAAATGAGGAAATTTGGGTGTAAGAATAGGGTGGTTTTTTTTATGTGGGGCCACTGCCAGTTATCCAAAAGAAACAAGTGTATAAAGAGCCAGCTGAAAGATTTCACTTCTCTAACATGCCAACAGTGTAATGCCAGATGCATATGTTTTTGGACGAAATCCATTACTAAAGGGAAGATCACCTGGAAATGTCAGCCATTCACATGCCTGACAAAAGACAGTTCCTGTGTTTCATTCTTGCTTTGTCATCTTTTCTTTCTCCTTCTCCAGTTTCAGCACCAGGACATCCTCCTGCTTCATCCTTGAAATTCTAGACAAAGATTCTATACCATACCAATCTTCTAATTTTTATTCAATTTGTTCTCTTTCTTCTTCTCCATATAAGCTCAGAACTTCTTGTGTGATTCTCATGACAGTTTGATCATCAGTAGCATTATACATCTGTGCATTAATAATAATCATTTTGGAAATAAATACAATTGTTTTTAAGTCACAATTGATTATAGTACACTTGAGTCTACCTTTTTGGAAGACTTAATTTGTTAAATACTAGCTAAAAGTTTCTTCAGCTCATAAAAGATGGCGCTGCTGGAGATGGTTCTTGTCATTTTAAAATAACGCGACATGATTTGTGTTTTTATTTTCCAGCTTCCCATGGCTTTCTTCATATTACTTCTACTCCTCAAACTTTTACAGCTTCAGAAATGACAGATGCTGGTAAATTACACTAATATTATTTTCGAAGCATATTTTTAATGACTTTTTTGTGCTGAAATTTTACTACTATTAGTGATTTAGACAATTATTCTATACTGCCTGTATTGATGTTGCAGTATGTGTTAGTTCTTCAAATCCTATAATAGTGTCATAATTCCTGGGACCAAGCACAACCCAGATGAAAAGCAAGACCGCAACTAGCACACAGCTGAATAAGGGCAGTATTGATCTCATAAATTCATCAAGAGAAGATGTAAATTTTGCAAGGTGGAAGATTGTTACTGTCAACTAAGATATACTTTCTGATGATAAATCTGCTTTCTTTCTCACTTTCTTTCTGTCAGTGTACATTTTCCTATACAAATTTTGCTGTGATTTGTGATTTTTCCTGTACGTTGACTTAAAAACAGCAAGTAAACACATTTCAGTCCAGACCTTTCTAATGTAGCTATACTGTGGACTACAGCTGTAGGGATGGGTGTTCTACTTTCCTGAAGCTTTTGGTATGTAATGGTGCTTGGTATTTTTAGCCTTTGTTTGAACATGAGCATGTATATGCATGAGAAGTGAAAGCAATGAGAAAGAGATAGAAGGAGGTAAGGGAAAAGGAAGCAGTTGATTGCTGCAAAATTACAGTAATAAAGCTGTATTTTAAGTTCTTTGCTGTATAATAAGCTGGATTCTGGCACCCCAATACAGCTTTTGGAAGTTCAGACTTGGTGCAAAATACTAAAGCCTCCTAGTCCCAGGTAATGGTTTTAAATCAAATTAGTTAATTATTTTATATGGAGCAGGTGCGCACAGGTTGAGTTGAACACAATTTGAGAAACTGCATAGAGATAAGTGTCTTAATGAAGTGGACTAGAGAAACTTTTATCTCCTGAACCTACAGTTATTTTTCCAGAGTTTATGAAGATTTCTTATCTTCATGGAAAGATATGGTATAAATTGTGGGCCCATTTTTTTTCAGATGCTATTTAAGGCAAATCTATATATAGTTTAATAGATAGATAGATAGATTTTCAGCTCCTTTGTAGATATTCTCACATATAGGCAAATAAGAAAATGCATTTAGCCATATAGTTATTTAAAATACTCAAACTAAAACAAGGTTCATTTAAAAAAAAAAACACAAAACAAACCACATTTTGACTTCTACAGAGCAGTGGATGTTGAAATTCCTCTCTTTTCTTCAGTTCTAACCCTTTAATTTATTTACAAGCAACTCTTTCTCAGATGTATTTGCATTTTTTTCCTGCAGCTGAATATACTGCTGATTTGGAGATAACCATGCCTGTAATTACCACAGAACGGCATTTGTTAGAAACAGCACTGGGTAAAATTGATGCGTTGACTTGCTTTAGTTTTAACGTCTTACTTTCCATTTTTATCCTTACTGCTGTTTTTGGAACATTTCCCTTGCTTTAGTTGTCACTGTCCCAGTAATTCATACCATTTATTTCTGCAGTTAACCAGATTCTCATCTGCACTTGTCATTCGTCTTTATAGATGGGGGATAGAGTCCTTGGGATGGGTTTTAGTTGGTTGATTTTGGTTTTCTCATTATTGAGCTTGCCAGCTGTGGGCCTACCTTTCTCAATGTTGTTTTTTTTTCCCTATGCTAAGACCACTTAACTGTGGAAGGTAATGAGGGGCTTAACATACATTTCTGTGTAATATTTCCGTGAAAAGGTTATTTTGACTGGCTTTATATTAGCTGTCACACTGTCTGCCTTCTGGATCAAAAGGTGTTATCTTACTACCTGTGAATCTTAATACATGTTTTAAGACTCTTAAACAATAGTAAGAATTCTTGGTAAAATGATTAATTAAGTGATATTTTTCTACACTGACGTGCTCACCAACCAACAGTTTGTGAGACATTCTCATTCCTGGCTAGCTTGCAAGCAGATTTCTTTCTGCGTTTATTTTAGCATTGCAAATTTTGTCTGCTGAGTCATGTCCTCTATGTAGTAGATCTGAGGTAAATAAACCTATTAGCAGACAATTACCTTTTCAGATTTAGATGAAACTAAGCCTCTTTCTTCAAGATCCAAAGCAGCGTGTCAGAAATGCTTCCAATCTCAGCTGATAATGATAACATTCTTCAGTGTACTTCTGACTTGTAGGCAGTCTTTCAAAAGTCATAGCAATGTTTCGTTAAATAGAGGGTTGATTCTGCTTTGCCATTTTAACTGAGGAATGCACGCTCCCCCATGTAACTGGGAGTGTTTTGAGATCTGTTGTATCTGCTAGAATTTTTCAGGAATTAGTGGAATGGAAATAGTGGAATATTAAAGTGATATAAAAGTAAATTTTTAAAATGTTTTTAAACAAGTAGCAAGACTGTGTCCTTCACTTTTCTGTAAAGGATTTTATAACCAGGCCTGTTATTTCAAATGGTTGATACAAATCTACTCCTTTTGTGTATTGCATATGCAACAAACGTGTCCATTGGTGGAAAAAGCTTTAGCTACTCTTAATATCCCACAAGGTTTAAAACCATGGGAAGAAAAAAACAAAAACATTTACTGATTTGGTTAGTGGCTCATTGCATATTGCTAGAATTTTATGCAGAAGAGACCTGAACTCAATTTTTCAATTCCTAAGAGCTAGGAATGTCTAAATGTCCCGGAGAAATCACTATTACCAGCAATTTCTTCAGGTTTCTGCAGGCTTGAAAGCTTTCACCAACAGTCTTACCTATCTT